ATACAAATTTAAGGATTTCTTTAACATAGTCATTCTCCAGAGAGGTGTTCTAGGCAAAGTAGAACAATATTATGTTAAAAAAGAATATCAAATGCGTGGAGCACCTCATTATCACATCCTCCTATGGATTAAAAATGCTCCTGTTGTCGGTATTGATTGTCCAGAAGAAGTCTGTTCTTTCATACAAGATAGAATTACCTGTCATATACCAGATAGTAATACGTCACCTGATTTAAATTTTTTGGTTACAAAATACCAAATGCACAAGTGCAGCAAATACTGGAAGCGAAATATTAAAGTTGGCAAGACCTATGTATCTAGATGCCGATTTGATTTTCCTAGACCAGTAAGAGATAGTATTTGCATCAATGATGTTGAAAATAGCTTGAAATCATGCAATAAAATATAATATCTCAAACGAAATGAAAAAGAAGTTCGAGTCAACGACTATAATCCTTTACTGCTGAAATTGTGGCGTGCAAATATGGACTTGCAATACATAGCTGAGAGGAGACTTTCCTTAACAGAGTATGTAACTGGATATGTCACTAAAGCAGAAAAGAGTCATGCACAGGACTTATGGGATGAAGTCAGCAGCTGTGACAACATATACAGCAGGCTTTGGAAAATCGGCCAAAAATTACTTCGAGCTAAAGAAGTAGGACTATATGAAGCTAGCGATCTTCTTCTTGGTGAAAGTTTATACATGAAATCAGTAACTGTACAGTATGTTAATGTGTACTTGCCTCATAAGAGGAGCAGAAAAATCAAAAACTATTCATATTTAACTAAAATGGATCGATCTTCGAAAGACATCTTTAATCCTAGCATAATTGAAGACTTTTATCCAACAAGACCGAATAACATGGAAGATGTATCTCTTTATGAATTTGTTGCTAATTACAAATTTGATACAATAGGAGAAAATGGAGAAAAAGAATACAAACTTCGATCAAAGCCAGTCCTTCCAAACCATAGGAAATTTAATCCTATGCAAGAAACGGAAAGAGACGATTTTTATTACTCGCTAATATTTTTATTTGTGCCTTTTAGAGACGAGAGCACACTTGTAATGGAAGGAGAAACAATGGAAGAAGCTTTTAGGCGTCACAGAGAAGCATCTATACGTGGCATTGAAAATCATTTCAACAAACTACAGAAATTATTAGAAGCTGAACGTAATTGGAAGAAAATAGTCGATGCAAGAAATAAAACCGGTTTCACTGAAGAAGAACTTCCTGATAACAAGGAAGATGATGAGCCTCAATTACTGGGTGAAATAATGGAAGCAGTAGCTGATATTGCTGACATGCATTTAATGTACCTAATTAAACATTAGAGCAAAGAGAGGCAATGCTTAATCGAGATCAAAAAAGAATTTTTGATAAAATTAAGAGTCATCTTATAAGTCAAAAAGAACGTGAAGATTTATTAGAGAATGAGTCTTCAAGACTACTTAGATTAGATAATACCAAACCGCTAAGGATGTTTATTAGTGGTGTAGGTGGAACTGGTAAATCGTTTTTGATAGAGGCAATAAAATGCCTAGTGGATGACATATGGCATCCAAAAAGTGGTGAAATCATGTGTGCTATAGTAGCACCAACAGGTATAGCCGCATTTAATGTAGGTGGACTAACAATACATAGGTTATTTCAGCTACCAATAGAGCATGAGGGAAAGACAGCTGGATATTGGACTTTGAGTAAAGAAGCTCAGAAAAGAATAAAAATGACACTTAAAAATTTAAAAATTATAATAGTAGACGAGGTATCTATGGTATCCAATCTAAATCTAGCATACTTACACATGCGCTTAGAAGATATATTTGGAACTGATGAATGGTTTGGATCCAAAAATATTTTATTTGTAGGTGACCTTTTACAATTGCCACCAGTTAATGGTAGACCAGTATTTAAAAAAATTAGCAACAAACTAGTAAAAACTAGACTTGGAGCAGCAAATGCAGTTAACATATGGAAAGAAACAGTAGAATATGATGAACTAACAATCAATGAGCGACAAAAAGGAGATGAAACTTTCTTTAAGATGCTTGATTCTGTTAGGCATGGCTGTCTGACTGATGAAACTATTGATACGCTTAAGAGTCGCGTATTTAAGGTTTCAATACATGAAAAATATAAGGAATTGGAAAGTGAAGGAACAAATCCTCCAATTTGCCTATTTTCTAAGGTAGACGCCTGCCAAAAAATCAATGAATTAATGTTAGAAAGTCTAGAAACTGAGAAAATAGAATTAGCATGTGTTGATGTTGTTGATGAAAGTGGCAGCACAGCATAATTTGACAAAAAACAAGAAAAAAAATTAGAGAGACTAAAAGATCATCCAAGCAAAACAGCTGGTTTAGAAACTGTATTGTCTTTAGCAGTAGGCTGTAGAGTAATGCTAAGACGTAATATTGATGTGACAGTAGGATTAGTTAATGGGGCCATTGGTACAGTAATGGGTATTTATGCTACACGTATATCAATCAAATTTGATCATATTGATGTACCTTGTGACATAGAAAGGGTTACATCTAGATTTATGCTATCTAAGAATTTGTATATACAAAGGAAACAGTTTCCCCTTATACTTTCTTATGCTATTACTATTCATAAATGTCAGGGCCTCTCACTAGATGCAGCCATTATTGATTTATCTACTGATGTTTTTGGGGATGGTATGGCATATGTTGCATTGTCTCGTGTACGTACATTAAATGGATTACATTTATTATCACTTGATCCTCTCTCTGTTAAAGTTAGTAATCCGTGCATTAATGAAATTAACCGCCTCAGAAGTAAATTTCGGAATGACTTACCTCAAATCAAGAAAAGTAAAGGAAAGAAGAGAAAGATTCAAGTGACTGGTATAATTGATGATGGTGAACCTTGTACTAAGAATGCCAAGGTGTCTGTAAGTCATGTACAAAGTACTAGTAACAGTACCGTTAGTTGCAATAAACGTAAGAGTACTGATTTACAAAAGTCTAATTGCCCCAAAAAGAGTAAAATTTGTGACAATAATGCTTTAAATAAGCCTTGCCCCCAAAAAAGAAAAGTTGATGTAGACAGTAGTACTGACAATAGTGCTTTGGTATTGCCTCGCTCAAAAAAAGATGATAAATTAATTGTTTCAATTAATTTGAAAGACCTAAAAACCAAATTTAATGTCAAAGATTATGATAGTTGTAGTAGTCTCATTGTATCTATAAAACTCTCAAACATTAAATGTAAACCGAAAGATGATAAAACAAAGTGTGTTGTAAAAAGTGACGATTGTAGTAGTAGTCTCATTGTATCTATAAAACTCTCAAGCATTAAATTAAAGACAAATAATCCAAAAAAAGATGATGATGTCATCTTTACTTATGAAGAGCCTCCCAACCCAGATAATGTAAGGAGGAGACAAAGGGATTATGTTTATTACCCTGCTAATGAAGAAGTTCAAAGAAGGTGGTGTGAGATATTGAACCTTAAGTTTGTAGCAGCTGCTAGAATCTTACCTGGTAGTCCAACAACACCACTGTCAGATGAAAGAGTTCCTAATAGTACTCTTGATGTCCCTGGTGATGGGAACTGTTTATTTTATGCCCTTTCATATCTCATTACTGGGTCCATTTCTCAGCATTATGAATTACGTAGAGCAATTGTTAGTAATATGCCAAACTTTGAAGAAGAATTGTTTAATAGTACATTAAGTGCAACCAGATATTCAAGCATATATGATTACATAAATAAGTCAAAAATGTATAGAAATTATGTGTGGGCCACTGACACAGAGATTATTACACTAACAGCATTATTAGGTATAACCATATATTCATATTCACTCACTCCTACTTTTGTAGGCTGGGCTAGATATGGAACCCAGGAGTTGTATGGCATTCCTTGTGATACTACTACACCTGCTTTGTATTTGAAGCATGTTGGTACTAATCATTTCCAAGCAGTTAAGTCTATTAATATTTCTTAAAGCATCGATTGTTGATGGAAAGGGGGTATGGTGAATGGGAGGTCCATCATCTTTAAAACATTGGTTGTTTAATGTGACTTTTATTTCACTGCATGTGCAATGTGAGTGTGTGTGAAAACCAGTGGTGCATATCCACCCATTATTGCTCAGTATAAAGTGATCAAACTGCATTCAGGATGTGAGATTAATCAATGTATACAGTGAATATTGAGTACTTGTTGCTATAATGGACAGGGAGAGGGTGTGAAAGAGGTTTACTGTTCATTAGAGTTTAGCATTGATTCAATTTTGTGTGACTATCATTTATGTAGGACAGAGGGTTAGGAAGGGAGGAAGCTGTCATTATCAATTCCCGATCTTGTTTGTGGCTTGTACTACATGTTTATAACAAATATCAGGTGCTTATGGATCAAGGGCGCTGCTGACAAATTTTGAAGGACAAGAAAAATTTAGAGTAACAATAAAAGTTCTCATTATACATGTAGTATCATTCAAACAGTGATTTGGTACATATATTAATGATCATCATACATGTCAATGCTGCCATCAATGCTGTGCGCATTACATATATGTAAATGCTTGGCAGCTGATGTTGCGCATAATGCTGCCATCAATGCTGTGCGCATTATTAAGTTAATGCCTGCCGGCTGATGTTGCGCATTTGAATGATGCTGCCATCAATGCTGTGCGCATATTAAATGCTTGCCAGCTGATGTTGCGCATCTTTTGTTGATGATTGTTGTAAATATGTGCATGTTTACATTAACAAAAAAATATTGTTGTAAGTACATATGTACTATAATGGAGTTACAAGGAATACAAAAGTTCAATGTGATTGGTAATAAAGTTTGTTCACCATTACTGTTTGTACTATTGTTATTATTAGCCCACATGTTTACATTGCTTGCATTTGATGTGTTTATGTTACTATGCTTTACAGGTAATGACAGCTGGAAAGGATTTGATGATTCAGCAATATTTTCATTGCTTGATATTGTAATGTGCAATAATAATTAAAGGCAGTTCTGGATTTCGATTGTTGTAACTAAATTTATTGCAATATTAAATGGAACTTAATGTGTTGTTGTAGGTCCTTGATGAGTACTTTTATCACACTGCAGGAGGTGCCTGCATAGGTTTCACATTACTGTAGTCTAAGGAATGGAATATGTAGTAAGATTAAATATTGTGAGATTCCAAAGTATCTTATGTATTTTGTTATAGGGTATGATTCAAGGTTACATCTATATTCGTTTGATGGGTATGTCATTATAAGCATGGCCACAGTAAGTACTCTCACTATAAGTTATTGTTTGCCAGCGTATCTTTCGTTGATGATTATTAGTTTATTATAATAATATTATGTGCATGCATGTTCTCATTAACAAACAACAATTGTTTGCACATTGGAAAGTATTCATGTGTTCTATATTTATATGAATTTGCTCAATGCAAGTCTCATAAAAAATCTTAATTCAGTATGGAATTAGTAAGCAAATTAAAAGATATTTGTCTTTATTTTTTTGTAGATTATGAATGACAACACCGTGCATGTTCATGTACGTAATCAATATGTCCACGTTAATGGCCACTTAGGTATTATTTATTTCTTAAATCATGCATTATGATAATAATGTGTATTTTTCTTCTTGGAATATTAATAGAAACTAAAGCATTGGAGCATTTTTGTCTTGTCAAACACTGTGCATTGCTAATGTATTTTAATCTTGGCTTAACGCTGGTGCATTTTTTATTGACATTTTGATTATTTTATTATTATGTCTACATCTATTATTATAATAAAGTTATGATACATAAAAGTTATAATTTTTTGTTCCAACTTGGGGTCTTGGCCTCCTTCCCCTACCCCTGCCCCTGCCAGGTCTTCTTGGTAGATTGAGATACTATTATGGAATATAATTTAGTACATCATAGTAAAGACTTACAATTTGTCTATTGACAGCCCTCAATTGGGCAATAATGAGCTGCCTTTGCTGGTGCAGCAAAGGCAGTGCTGGGGCAGGAGGGACTGCTGGAGCCCCTGCTGGAGGGACTACAGGTGCCCCTGCAGGACGGACTGCTGAAGCCCCTCCAGGAGGGACAACGGGTGCACCTCCAAGAGGGACTCCCAGAGCCGCTCCAGGAGGGACTACGGGTGCACCTCCAAGAGGGACTGGCGGAGCCCCTCCAGGAGGGATTGCCGGAGCCCCTCCAGGAGGGATTGCCGGAGCTCCTCCAGGGGGGATTGCTGGAGCCCCTCCAGGAGGGATTGCCGGAGCTCCTCCAGGAGGGATTGCTGGAGCTCCTCCAGGAGGGATTGCCGGATCTCCTCCAGGAGGCAGAATGGGATCTTCCTCTCTCCTATCCGGATCTGGGCTTGGTGACCTACTCATACTATGAAAAAGATACATACAAGTATATATAGTGTATAAGCTAGAGGTTGGATAAACTGACTTTTTGCTTGCAAAGTACGAATAACAAATATTGAAAAGTAGTCTGATGCCTGATTGCAAATTGACTAATGTCGAAACTTTAAAGTAAGGACTGTACTGCTCAGTGACAAACTTGACAAAGTGCAGTTGAGCGGGAAATCAGGCATGGTTATTAAAGATTATTAACCAAAACAGGATATTACGTCACATAAATAATTAGTTATTAGCTATGAATTTCATTATTATTTCAAATTTTCAAGTTTCTAGATGTGGTATGTTTATTTTGTAAATGCACAAGTAGCCAAAAATTAATATCTTGCAGAAGTTTTATTAAATATTCTGTAATGGATTTTTAAACCTAGTTAATTAATATCAATAAAGATAATACTGATATAAATATAACAATAATTAACAAATTGAATAAAAAGTATGGAAACAAGTAAATAAAAAAATTTCTATAAATAAGAAAAAGTAGGGTTTTTAAAAAATAAAAGAAACAAGGGGGTTGAGTTCAATCATAATAATAATTATTAATTCAATTAATAATAATAAAAGTTAATTAATAAAAAATAATTATTCTAAAAAATAATACATAAATTTCAACCCTACTTTGCAGCATTTAATGAAGGATTACTGATTCCTTTAACATGACAAAGTTTAATGAAAGAATGACAACCCAACTGCTTAGTTCCAGCCTACGCAAGTGTGCGAGTTGGCCCTACTGACAATTCCTAACAATGTAACATAATCAGATCAAAATTTTAAAAATGAATATATACTAAAGACATGCATCCATGCTTTTACTTTTAAAATCAAACTAACAAGTATACATTAATATTTTAATTTTATTAATTTTTATGATAATGCATCACAAAAATTAAAGAATGCAATAGCAAACTAATCATCCGTAGTTTAGAATTTTCACTTGTGATGACAGTAATTTATTCAATCAATGCTAGGTAAAAATTCTGATTTTTATTTATCAGAATACTTAATTTACATCGTACTCATAGCAATGTATTAAGGCAATCACTAAGTACAGAGGCATAAATAATTTAAATTCATTAATTTATATTGTAGTCTGAATATTAGCATATTCTGCAAAGTAGGGTTGAAATTTATGTATTATTTTTTAGAATAATTAATTTTTATTAATTAACTTTTATTATTATTAATTGAATTAATAATTATTATTATGATTGAACTCAACCCCCTTGTTTCTTTTATTTTTTAACAACCCTACTTTTTCTTATTTATAGAAATTTTTTTATTTATATAAGTGAGACTGCACCCTTAATGCGAAAACATGCAACCCCTTCATAAACTTGACTTGCCTTACTACGAAAAGATTGAACTTCTTCAGAAACTATACTATTGAAATTGAGATTAATTATGCTATAGATTATTGCATTTTAATGATTTTTAAAATTTAATGATTGTTACAATTACAAGTTGTTTACGAGTGTGAGTCAGTAGAGCACAATTTAATCTGTGAGCTATTTTACAATTATTGCTGAACCAAAAATTTGTTTTGAGTACTAGTACAAATATTTGCAGTGTTTATTGTTGAGAAATATTGAATAGACTTTAATAATTTTCAAAGCCATTAAATGATATAACAAATTTCATGGCAGTCAACAAATAAGAATTAATTATCCACAAAATTTGTCTCCATACAGGAAATAGATTAAATGAGGCTTTGCAACATATAGCTTTCTGGCTCTTGAATATCTGGCACATTCACACATGGAAGCTGCTCCAGCTCCTCCCACCTGATTCATTTTTGTTAATTGGCCAGTTGTCCTAGTATTTCCTGGAATTTGTCCAAGGCTATTACTACTACATTACATGCCATTATAATTGATTTCGCATTTCAATAATTGTCTTGACGCATCCTAATAAATACGAAAATGAATAGTTGTACATGGAACATGGTCTTACTGCTTCTTGTTTACAAAAATAAGAGTAGTTCACTGAGAGAGAGGGACGGTAATTTTAACTATACAGCGATGTTGATGTTACACTTACTAGTACAAATTGGACATTTTTGTGTCTTCTTTTATCTATCAAAAAGACACAGTAAATGCATGTACCTAAATGTATTATTTACCACATATTGCAGCAAGTGCATTTGATGAAACCTCAAGATATGCTTCTCTAATGAACACAGTTGCTTACTTGTGCTACCATGATTGGTAAAACTAGAGACGGAAAAAGAAAGGCATATGGTATACATGTGCATATGAGGGGGAGAAATAGAGACAAAGATGTACAAAATTGTTGAGGAACACAAAAAATGAGCAATAGATTCTTTTAATTGGAAAGGGCATAATTGTTATAAATTTATAGTAACATTGGAAGCATCTTTAAAAAAATATAACAAATAATACTGTAGATAACATGATCAATGACTGTGGGACTTCAAATATGATTTTTAAAATTGTGAGGATTCATCAAAATCAAGCCTTGAATCATACATATACATGTAAACAATGTTTGCAGCTGCCATCACTAACATAGGCAAGGCTCTTTGGGAATAACAAATGTAAAATGCAAGTAGTTACATTATTAATGATTTTATTTAAAAAACTTTCAACAGTTTAATTTATTTGCCAAAAATCATGCTATTAATGAGGCTGAAACATCAAGTCACGTCAAAGAAAGGCAGCTCTGTGGATCATGGTTGAAGTGGATGGAGTACTGGTTTGTATCTAGGAGGCTTAAATGTATATAATCATTATTCATTACCAGAATTAGTTCTACTAAATATTTATATAATCCATAGTATTTATGGTTGCTCTAGAAGTTGCAGCTAGCTTTTAACTGTTTATTTCATAATGTTCCTTCCATATTATTGCAGTAGAGCATATTACTGTTACTATTACAATAAACAATTTTAAAATGTTGTAATTAAGTGCTTTTAAGGTGTCTGTTCATTGCATTCTAATGCCAGCTTCAAGTTTTTTTAAAAATGGATCAGTCACTGGGCACAGGATGCCAAAAGCCTATGCATTGATTTGTTGTTTCCAGCTATACTTGCTGTTGTCACTCATAGCATGTTGCTGTATATGTAACAGCAGTCTACATGGTATTGTGAGCATTACATTATAGTCACTGTAAGAAGTATAGTGTCTCTGACACACTTCCTATATGTCACAACTAAGGTGTGCAAGGTGTACAGTGTCTCAGACACACATTCTTTCAATTATAGGTGTGTGATAAATTCATTACACTGTATCAACTAAATAATACTAAATATTACTTCAAAGGTATAAAATAATTATTGCAAAAAGGTATTGTATAACAAGATGGACAGTTGTGATCGGCAATATCAAAAATTTTGCAAATTGTATGGCTGTAATGTGTTTCTTTCAGAACTTGATATGAAAGAAAATGTGAATTGAAACACTGTTGTCAGAACTTCATAAATTAAGTAATAATTAACAAGATCTCGAACATAGATTTGAACAATGCAACCAAATTGCAGAACCACATCAACTTTTAAGATGACTATTTGTTTAGGCTTGTAGGTGATGCCATTCACTGATACCCATGATAGCCTAAATTATTAGTAAAACAAATTTTTATAAAAATATGATAATACTAAAAGCTATAACTTATTGTAGAAGCATGTAAATAGATTGGCAAAATTTTTAGGTGTTACAAATTAATTTTGTGTGTCAATTGCTCTTTCTATTAGCAACTTATTACTCTATATAATGTACACTTTTGTATGCTAAATTTTAAAAAAAGCAAAAATGAGACTACTAAAATATTCCACTATAATTTTACATGGAGTATAACAAGGTATGCACACATATTTTTAGAGTTTGAATTGTTCACATGCATGCTAATTTTTTTAATCCAAATGCACTTACAAATCTATAGCACAACTGTCAGTTAAAGTAGGAAACTTCAATTGAATTTTAAATTTATAAGCAGTGTCACTAACCAGAACTTGAGAGACTGCAATAAAATTATAAAATAATTATTAGCCAAATAGCCACTGTGTATGTAAAATTTCACTTACTAGTACCAACTGTGGCTCTTTTATCATATCCAGACATTTGTATGAACAATAAATAGAGCTGATGTTGCTCTGCCATACTTTTTTCAATATTACAATAACACATAAGACGATGAGCTACATCTTTAAACAA